CTGGCTGTCTAAGATGACAACTTTTCTCCCACCTCGACAATGGGTGGCTGTCTTGGAGAGGTTCGAATATAGTAACTCCTCAGTTACTGGTAAAAGGGAAAGTGAAAATTTTAGAGTATGGCACGCCATTCGCTTTCTAACATCACAGATTCGTTAGATGTCTCTACAAGAAGACTAGGAAAACATTTACATCCAGAAAGTATCTTAAATAATGCTGGTACAATTCGCACGACAACCGTTAAAGATTGTTCGGAATGTGTAGAAACCGTACCACATATGTGAGGCAGCGTGGTGGAATCAGGCTCTCGTCAAAATAATCAAAGTGAAGAAACTTGCATTTCTTTGCAGATTTGTGAATTTTTATCAAATTTTTGTTTTTTGGCTCAACACCTTTTATGCCCATTAAAGAACTCATTTCTGTGTGAATTTTTCTGAAAAATTTTGATTATAGACGCAAAAAATGTACATTTTTAGTTACAACGGACTCTTAAGCTAAGGAAATAACTAATCTTTGGCCACCATTTTTCACTAATTTTACCTCTGAAAACAGGTGACCCCCACCTCCTTCATTAGCAAATATCCCGACTTGTAATCAAGATAAATGTATATTTTTTTCATCCAAATAAACACAAGTGAACAACCTTTAAGATTATACCAATAACTCTAGTCTACATGCCCAAAAATTGACGAGAACCTGATTCCACCACGCTGCCTCACATATGGTTGATTCTTAACAAACAATTTTGAAAGCAAAGTTAAACATGGGTGAAACATTTCTTTTTTTAAACTTGAACTATCTTTGAAAGACACGAGGACAGATATAAGGATATGACATAAAGTGATGATAAAGAGATCGTGATTAGTGAAAGTGAATATTACAAGTACAAGTGCATCACATTCAAGTGATTTTCTAGTCCACCAGTCAAGAGTCAGTTTTGATTCCCGCTCATGGTAACCTCAGATAAACGCCAGACTACCACAATAAATGTTATCAGAACACCAGGTCGGAAGTATGCTCACTTGTATGAATGTGTGTCTCCCCTGCTGGTGGGGGGCCCCATAGTTTTACTAAGGGGGAGCAAAGAATACCCCTGCCGTGATACTGCGTGTCGTAAGAGGCGACTAAAGGT